TATATATATAATTTAATTCATTTAAAAACTTATATGATGCTATTAGGATAAAAATTTAATTTTTGGAAAGTTTACATACATACCCCTTATCTTCTAAGAAATTCCCAACCGCCCGGCCGCCCAGAGCATACCGCGTGCGAGCCCTAAAAGGCGATCCCGCGAGTTCATTTGGTATCCCACTTGGGAGAAATCCCTAAGTCCCCGCCGCCTACAGAAGCCATGGAAAGAATCACAACAAAGATGCGCTCTCGTGAGTTCGATCTCGATGCTGCCTCGGAGTCCGAACCAGAGGCGCTATCCCTATCACCGTCTCCGGGTCCGCGCATCAGGGCCGACTCAATTCTGAAGCCTCCGGCCAGCAATGGCGGAGGGAGCGATCTCGACATCGGATATGACACCGATGATCGCCACCGCGGTTCCCCGCCGCATCAGCGCCGACTTAATTCTCCCCATGATGTTCATCCCCGCGGTTCTCCGTCGTCCAGCCGACGCCGTGGGGGCTACTCGTCACTGCATCGCCGGAGGTCTCCTGAAGGATTCCGCCGCCGTTTGCCACAACCTGGTCTGCAGCGTCGTGGTTCTGCGATTGGTCTTCGACGACGCGGGTCTCCTCTGGCGTTCCACTCACGGTCTCAAAGGTTTCAGAATGATCCAGGTGATTCATATATGCTTAGCTAGTTGTAAATTGGGTGTTGATTAATTGGTGCTGCGGTGCATATATTGAAAATTTTGAGTTGGTGGGTTTTTGATGTCTTCGTAAAATATGAACTCGCTTTCAACGTATTGGGGGTTTGGGCTTTTGTTGTCTCTGGTTTACTTATGATGTGCAAGCCATAAGTTATCGTTTACTTATGCTATGGTAATGTATCATGGTTAATATCATGTAGTGTTTTCCCCAAAATACTAAGGGAGTGTTTGGCGGCAAGTAGGATTTAGTAAATCTGCATGACATAAATCCATTAAATCCACCATACCCCGGAATTTAGTAAATCCAGTTTTAAGCCGAATCGATTCGAAGGCTAAATTTGGAACCCTAAATCCAGAAATTCATAAATCCACGGAAATCCCACATTTTAGTGTTTGGCTGGATTTAGTAAATTCTGTGATAAATACTATTAAAAGGTGCTATGAAACATCCCCTTAAGATGTTGATTCAAGTATTTGGACCTTGGTTTGTAGCTATTTTTTATAACCTATGAGATTTTTTGAAATTGTTAAAGTTTTCACTTTTCTTGAGAATTGCTGCTGCTTTGAGGCCGTTTTTTTAAGTGATGAAAGGTCAAGGATTTTAAAAGTAGGAATTGGTTGATGGGTCCTTTTTTCCTTTTTTTGGTTGAAGTTTTGAAGTAGAATGCATGAACAGAGATGGCATTATTACAAATGTACAATTAATGAAAGGTAGTTTATGTTGCCAGTCATGTTGAAGAAAAAACTTAAAATATTGATGCAAATTTAAAAAAAAAATGTTTTATATATAGTATTTTCAAGCGGTAATATTTTAGCTGATGTCTCTGTTCTCTTTTGGCATATAGTCTTTACCAATTTGTTCAGTTCATTGCCTGTAAATGTTGTATTTTCTTTCTGTATCATGAGCGTTTACATCCTTCTTTAAGTGCTATTTTCCTCTTGTCAAGTTTCATAAACTTAGATTTTTGAAAACAATCATAATTCAGTTTCTTAGCTTGTTCTCTTTATACTATGTACGCGGCCAAGGGTGCTTTTCCTTGCATTAATCATGTCTTTTTTAGCTTAATTTTATTGGAAAAAACCGAAAATAGTTTGAAGTTTCATTTTTTGTCAGGTAATTTTTTAGTGAAATGCATATTGATTGGAAATTAAAGTTAGACTTAGTTCTTGTTGATAATTTTTTTTTGCTATTATTATTTAAGAAATTATTTTGAGGTATGGTTATTTGGTAGCTCATCTCAAGTCTCAACTGATGCTGCTTCTTTACTTGCAATGGTATTTGCCATCATAGCTTCAAATAGGATTTTAGGTGTGATTTGAGTGCATTGTAGTTTGTGTTTATGATTCTGTTTATTATGTAAATGATTCACAGAGATATTTTGTATTGAATCAGAGCATGATTGTATTAGGTTTGATTTATGCAATTTTTTTTTCAACCTTCTTTACTAGTAAATTATTTTTCAAATTTTATTGGGGCTAAAAGTTATGGAGTGGGTTGACTGCAACTTTTAGGTTGTTCCTATTTTTGTTGGGTGGTTATAGGTTTGAATCAAGCAAGAAAGAACCTCTTTTATGAATCGGTATGGGACGTGTAGTCACTGATCCATGTCCTCTTAGACCCTTCAGGCAGTTGGAACCGTGTGCATTGGTATACTGTACCATATATATAAATAAACTCATATAATTTCTGTGTAAAGATGGATGATATTGATTCTTATTCATTGTTTCATTTTGATATACATATTTTAAATTGGCAGACTAGCCAGAAAGCGCCCTCTACCCTAACAGATTCTCCTGTTTATATTTTCTTCGTAAATTTTTTGAACTTGGCTCTAATTTCAAAGTTGTAGTTGCTGTATGTCCTTCTTCAGTTCATATTCTTGTTCAATTTTAACAAAATTTGGGCTACCCTATCTGCAATCAAATTGTAACAAAAAATTCAAAGTTGAACCAAGGCTTTGTTTGGCTTAATTTGTTCTTAGCTTCTTTTAATTCATTGAACATAAGCAATTTTATGCTATTCGGGAAACTACAGTGGGATAAAATCTAGTTTTATGACAGTTGAAAGCAATTTCTTAAATTGATATTTTATGTAGTTTCCTGGAAGGGCACTTTTAGTGTATCTTAGCTTTATCATCTAGTTAATTTTTTAATTATATTAATAATTTATATATTTCAGGATGTCATATTTTGTATGAACTTTATAAGAATATTTATTTTTGTCAATCATCAGTTCATACAATGTTGAGATAGTCTTTTATCCAACAACCCCAACTCCTACAGTGTTTTAGTTAATAATTTTGATGTGATTTGCTAAGAACTTTCTGATTTACTCATGCGTACAACACTGCACAATGCCAAATAACAAAACACAAGATAACAATGCCAAAGGAAGCCTGAATCGGATGTTTGGGGTTATTTTGTTTTGACTGCATATGTATTATGATATATGATGATTTGAGTTGGCTTGGCTCAATTAAAGTTGATTATTTATTATTATAAGAAGTGCTAATTATCTTTATGTGAAAGGCATGTTACGGAAGAATTCACCTCAAACACCAATTAATTTTCAATAAATTGAATCAGTACTTGATTGGTTCTACATCCACCAATTTATCTGTCATTTGTAGTGGCAGATTAGATTACTTGATTGAGGTATGCGTAGGCTAGATTTTAGAACTCTTCTGTGATTGATCACAATTACATTTGTTACTCTTAATATGTTGTCGAGTTATCATCTATTGGAATTATGTTTTTGACCAGTGTTTATTGTGAATGAGGATTATCGATCTTGATTTTGCATTTGAAGGCTGCATTCTTGTTAAGATACAACCTTTGGATGATAATATATACTCTTCTTTTAAGAAGAATATATGTTTCTTTTTGAACCATGCAAGATCTGAATGACTGGTCAGGGCCACTCATTTTAACAGTCATGAATAGTAATAAGACAAATTTTCATAAAACTTTACAATAATTTAGTTTTGTGCAAGTACATGAAATTAGCGGCCTGATGATTGGTCGATGCTGTATTTCTTTTAAATCTTGTTTTTACAATTACTTAAAGCTAACTAAACCTTATGTTCATTTACTCGCATTTTCTTGAAAAAAGTTTTGGATTAATGAAATGCTGGAGGTGTTATTTTTCTGAAGGGTATCTCACACTCTTAAATTTTTATTGCATTCAATTAATCATTATACTTACATAAGTTGTCATCAAATTTGACTGAACTCATTCTTTTATTGTTTTAGATCATAAATGTGCTATAAACAATTCTATGTGTGTCTAAAATTTTCAACATACATCGTCATGTTTGTTTTTTTATCCCGCATCAATGTGTAATGCCAACGATTCATATCATAGATGCTCACCATTATAATAAACCATTCTACTTGAAAGGAGAATAAAAACTGTCAGAGATACTTAGAGCTGTAAAACTCTGGTATTCCCATGTGCACCATGGTTCTATGAATTTTTATATCACCGTATATGGTCTGCTAAATTTTTGTCTGTTGTCTTTCACTTTCAAAAGGATTTATATCTTGAGCACATTGTCTCACAGAAAACCTGTCATTATATAAATGATGAGTGTGTTAAGGTGTTTGGAATCGCCTGTTAAGATTAGTTGTCTACTTACACAGTTGGGCACAGCGTGAATAATATATTAGGGTGAACAAGATGCCAAATGAGATCTTAATTCTTGGAACAACAGAAGTTTAAAAGGTTGGATAACTAAAAATAGGGACTAAAATTAGATTAAGAGAGTATATAACAAAAGAATAACCGTGTATTGAAAGAGAATGAAAAGCAAATATATAGAGGAGTTAGGAATATTCCTGACAGATTCTTTTCTTACAGCTGAATGAGATTTAAATTTTAGAGAAATAAATTTTTCTTATGTGTACTTGAATATTCTGTATTTTATATATCCCTCAAGCCTTTCCATGATTGAAAGTGGTCCGAGCCAATTTTTTTCCTCGTATATGCAGTATGCTTGTGAAATAATAGGTTCTCTTTTGTAATGATAATTTCATGGCATATGCCTTGTGTATATGTGTCTCCCTTGTAATAGTTTATAGTGTATGTTCCATATTCACTCATATTGTTTGCACTCAGAGCTTGATGACTAGAGTTTAGGCACTTTCTTCCTTATTAATAAATATCGAGTTCTTCAAGTTGCAGAGTTTGTTAAATTGAGAATAAAGTTTTGTTATTGTGCTGTAACAGTTTCCAAGTCACCTGGCTTGGGTCCAAGCCCATTGTTAAGGAAGAAAGGATTTTATTACGCTCTTATTTTTTTTGGCAAATTGCTTGTGATAGAACATTTGATCGCATGAAATAGGACAATGGCTGGGAATGGCCTGGTTATGGATGCTACTTGGTAATACCCTTTGCTGCTTTGACTTCTTTCATTCCTGCCGATGATACACAATGAGGGAATTGGGCGAATGGCTCCTACTGACACAGTATGACAACAGATTATGGATTGGTCTATAAAAGATTGAGTACTTTGGAATTATGATGGTAGAGTGTAGCCAATTCCATACATTTGCTTATAATGGTCCATATAGTTTGACGAGGGATTTGCGTAGATCTTAACTTGTGATGGCGACTTGACAGATTGATAGTTGATGGATTCTATTTTGTATGCCTCCTCCCTTAAGTTGGTCAATATGTGTGGATTTCGTTCTCATACTTCTTACCAAAACTCTTTTTGGAGGTATCAAGTTCTGTTATTCGCTCATCATAACTTGCAACAAGGTTTCATTTTCTTTAGGTGTTGTGTTTGTTGGTGTGCTGGTCACTGTTACTTGAAAAAAATAATTTTTTTGGATGGAGTAGATTTGAGAAGTTTTCTTTTTGTTGTTTCTTTGGCTTATGGAGGAATATTAGGAAATTAATGGTATTGATAAGGACTTACGGTTGCTCCATGACTTTGAACAGCAATTGTATGCTGTTTAGTGTTGTCTGATTTTCGAGATGTAGAGCTCTTACAAATTGGTTCATTAGGGAAATTCTCTGCAGGGAGATCTATAGAATGTTTTATCTTCTGTGAATTGAAAGAGATCAAATTTACTGATGCTGACCATAGCCAAGGACTAAAGAGTTTGGATGAGCTTTTATTTTGACAAATTTTCTTGAATATTGAGGGTTTGGATTGAGGTTGATGTTTGGCATTGGACATGAGCTTCGTCTGTCAGAATATTTGATTTCAAAAGAGTTGCAGATTACAAATATAAAGTGCATCGTGCTCCCTTCCTTGAAATCATTACATTTTTTGGTAGCTTCTGGTTCTTATAAATGTCACCGGTGTTCGACAGAGACATGACAGTGCTTCATACACATATATTAACTAATGCAGGTTCAGAAAATATGCTGCTTGCAATGGATCCTGGGATACTGTGTAAGTACTCAGTGGTGTAATTTGAGTAATTAAGGGTAGCATCTTTTGTCTGGAAAAATAATATGCTTGAAAAAGAGTTGTTTACAAGATAAATATGCTTGAAAAAGAGTTGTTTGCAAGATATTTTCTCAGTTTTGGAGACTTCGGGACACTAGCCCACCTTTCCAGCTTGAACTGGTTTCATTTCCTTAAAGAAACTGAGTGATTGGTTAGCTAACAGGATGAACACATTTTGCCTTGAATTGCCGTTGATTCATTTTTGGGTCTTTGTTAGATTTCTCATGGAATCTGAAGCTTTTGTTCATTGAGACAGCACAGAATATGGTGAGTTTAGCCGTTATAGATCCATTTCTTGAGCAAGTGATGTTTCCCAGCTTGATATAAATCCTAACCCCACTGGTTTATAACACAATCAAAAACTGAAATTGTCTTACACTCCCTACGTACCCAGCTCTGATCAGGATTTCAGCTATTGTCACATGAACGGGCAGTTTCTAACTCTTTTTAGTGGGCTGTTAATCCTTTTATATATGATGCTTACTTTTACTCTTTTTGCAGGGCACATACAACGTCGAGGTTCTATTTCACCGCCGCGCCGGCCAAGGGTGGATGATGGTTATTTTGAACCAGATTTTAGGCACCCTCGCGGACCACGTTCAGGTCGTGGAATGCGAGGGAGAGGAGGAGGTGGCAGGTTTCGCATCTTCTTACCCCCTACCTTTTGGAGGGGCGGCAGACCATACACGAGAGGGATCGATTCAACCACACATATAATGTCCTCGTATGGAGGAGAGTTCGTTCACATAAATGATCCAAATTTGTCACCAAGGGAAGTTGATTGAATCCGTCGTAAGTCTGCTGATTAAATAAAGGAAGATTTACATACATACGACTTGTTTCTTATGCATTTACATATCTAACACCTAAGCTTCAATTTTTACATACACCTTCCCTATACAAGAAATGGTGTATTTCACTTTCAACAAGTTAAAATGGTGTAATTTTTTGTGTGATATGAAAGATTTGGGTGGTATAAATGTAAAATTTAACTTTAGGTGTTATATATGTAAAATTAAACTTTAGGTGGTTTGTATGTAAATGCCGCATAAATAAAAATTGGCTTGGTCTTCTATATTTGTTTTTGTTTCAGGCATTCTAATTCAATGTTTTTCTCACGCTTTTCCATCTCTCATTTGTCTCCGCATGCGTTTTGTTTTCATCATGCAGGTGCGGAAATCTGAATTTTGCTCGACGAACTTACTGTAACAATTGCCACAAGTATCGATATGATGAACCATATAGATCGAGTCGCAGTCCGCACAAGGGCTATGTTAGCCCCCGTCCGCATCGTAGCTATTCACCCAAGTTGTCGATTTCACCCATTAATCGTGTTCCACGAAGAGATTTCAATGGATACAGAACTCCACCACCACCATCACGGCCACAACCATCACCACCACCGCGTGGTTGGGACTCAGATGATCAAGGGGAATTCAACACCAACTTAATACCCCAGAGGCGTGAAGGAAATTTTATAAACCCTATTAGGAGTGGTAGGCTTAATTTCCACAAGAACAATTACAGGGAAAG